TTTTTTTTTCCATAGTCCATAAACGGTTACAAAAAAAGTTACAAAAACTCATGGGTGAGGCTTTGGACCTCTAAACACAGCACGCAAAAATTATAGGTAGAATGTAGGGAAACTGTCCAAAAAAGTAGTTTTCACGTTTTTGTCATGTGACCCTCTGCATTCAGTCTAAAATCTAAAGTCAGACTGTTAATTTGCCCTTAGATGTCTGAAAAGAAGTGCACAGAACCTCCAGATTGCCACCCTGACAGCTCCATGTTCAGCCGCTGTGAGACAGCAGCGTGCAAAGCAGAAAGCCGTGAAAGGGCACAGAAGGTCACCATCCCTCCATAACAGTTTAACATTTCACTGTTAGCCTCATCATACTGCAACAACAACATTAGTCATACTTGCTCTGTACGTATTTGGTCCATTGTTGTATTAAAACTGCGAAGTGTGATGCGTTTCACACTGACAGATCTTCCAGGTAAATTTTAGTGCTGCCACCAAGAGAACGAAAGAACTGCACAACCATCAGGCACAGCTGGAGAAGGAAAAGGAGATGCTGAGACGCAATAAAATGGAGTAAGTAAAAGTAAATAAAAGAAATGGACCAAAAAGAACATGTAAGGAAAAAGATGACATAATAACTGTGGAACGTACTTTCTTCTTCTCGTGGTTTCGTTTCTGTCCAGGCTAATGCACGATCGTATCAAACGCTTTGAGAAGATGCAGGACATCAGCAAGTCACTAGAGCAAGACTGGAGTCGCAGTGTGAAACACAAATACCAGCAGGAGGAAGACGAGAGGCGCTTTCGGAGGTGTGCGGGGGCAGGATCACTCTAACTTTTATAGTTAGTCATAATTTTGGACCATCTGCACAGAATATACAGCACCTCTTTGATCCATGATGTGATTACTGACACTGATCTTCTAAGAGCCTCTGGACCTCTAATGAATCCGAGTCCAATATTTACTCTTTTTTTAGCCCTATTTTTGAGTCTTACTGCCTCCTGTGGGGGCATATTTACCTCTTTAGCTGCTTAATGCTCCTCTTTGTTTGCCAGATAGTCATTAAATCTATGTCTGTTGTCTATTTCTTCCAGTCTTTTTCACTAAATACACAAATATATAAAAGTTGATGTCTGATGCATGATACACATGAGAAAGAAAGTACACCTTCTTTCAATTCTAAGGTTTTATGTATCAGCACATAATACATTTGGTCCTGGAGGTTATGAAATTATTTCAGCATATTCAGATGAACAGCACATATCCTCCTAAAACCAAGAAATTCATTCTCGGGGGACAGAAGCCTGAGACATCTATAAGTGATGACACCCACAGTCGATTGTGGCTCCCTGCTCCACTGCCATTGATTTAAATAAATAATATTTATGCTGGTGGCCAAATTATTACATAAAACAGTTATTAGGCAATCAGGTTTTTGGAAATGTTAGAGCTCAAAAACTGCAGGAAGGTGTTCGTATCTGAAGGCAGGTTAAAATCTGAAAGCATTCCTCAATGTATCTGTGTACATGGCATGACTCAGATACCCTAGTATCCAGACATACTGGGTCATTTTCATAGCAAGTTTAATAAATTAATCTTCTTCAAGATTAGGCAATCGGTCAAAGTAACTAATGATGGAAAATATTAATCACTTTGTGAATCTTCAGAATTTGTGAAGTGGAGTCAGACATGTTCTGGTAAGGGAGGAGGCAGAGAATTACATTATAGCACGACTCGAGTAAAAGTTAGATTTTTCAAACTATTTATTTTGATTTATATAATTAATATTTGCTAAGTGCATTAAACTGTATCTCTACTTCCATTCTTTATTAATTCAATTTCATCCCAATTGAAAATGAAAGATATTTTCAAAACGAAACATAAAAAGAAGACGTTGGGCCACAATCACTAAGACTGGTAATTATATTCAAACAGTAATTAGGCAACCACGTTTTTGTAATCATCAGAATGCACGAACCACAAGAAGGTGCTCATCACTGAAGGCAGTCCAAATATTCAGGAGAAACAAAACAAGCCTCAACGTGTCGATGCTCATATGTTCACATCTATCATAGGACTTGGATCTGGGTAAACTGGATCCTGGCTACAGCC